TTATATCATCAGTTATATCGTTATCGCAAATTTTCAAATGTATATCGTGATAAATATTTTTGGTCATATCGCCCTGCTCTAGTAGTTATGAGCGAGAGGGGGAGCTGGGGCTCGATGTGACTGAGCTATAGCATGAAAGCAGTGACGTCATTAAAAACATCATTTTGATCAGATGAGTTTGAGGGTCTCGTGCACACGGCGCTGATCTAAGACATGTTTTCTTCATGGCTCACTACAAATCAACTTCCCTACGGAGACAATTAAATTACGAAGCCTCTCCCTCTCTTCTTATTTCCTGTTCCCCCTCCCTCCACCTCGTTTTGAATCTTTCTGCGTGTTATCTTCACTTTATTGCATTAAAGAGATGGCAGACAAGATGTCAATGCACCATTCGTCTCTTCTCCGTGTCCCCCTCCCCTCCAGCTCACTACCTCCCACCCTGCCTCGTAACTTCACTGCAGCGTACAAACAGGCAGCTGTCTCTCCCCCTCCGTCGTGACGTACCTCCTCTCCGTTGCGGTAGATGAGCAGGTCAAAGGGAATAGCAGCCACCATGTCGATGAGGAACCAGCCTTTGAAATAGTGGACGGCTATACGCACCGGGTGGCTCACCACTTCGTCATTAGAGTTTACGTATGTTGTCCTGAGAGAAACAGAGAGGATCGTGTAAATACTGCAGACACTGATAGTTGTTGTTGCAGTTTCTTCTTTTACAACCAGCTCTGTTCAGAATAATGAATGTGACTACAGGCTCTTCTGTGACTGCTGCTGTAATGAGGAGCGCCGCTACAGTTCAGACCTGAAGTTGATGAGGATGTCAATAATGAACATGATGTCCACTATGAGGTCCACCACATTGAGAGGAGAGCAGGAGTAAATGCAACCATGCATGCCTTCGTCCTACGAGGAGAAGAGAGGAAAAACAAGTAAGAAGAGGCTAATATAGTGTACTTTAAGATAAAAATACATTCAGCACATCTTTCAAATGCATTAGGATGAAGGATCATTTACATATGCAGACAAAACATGAAACAGTGACAAAGTTTGGAGCTCAGTTCAGCAGCAGGCTGACTAAAGAGGGACTTGTTCCAACTCCATGTTTTTGTTTTTGTAGAGCAAAATAATCCTAATTCATCTCCTACTGCAACTTTGTGCAGCCCCTCAGTTCATCGACAGACAGCTGTGATTTTAAATTGGACAACCAAATCAGAGCAGTGGTGAAGTCCAGTTTTTATCATTTAAGGCGACTGGCAAGAGTGAAATCTTTTCTTTTGAGGCAGCATCTTGAAACAGGATCCATGCTTTTGTTTCTTCCCGCCTGGACGACTGTAACGCACTTTATGTGGGGGTCAGTCAGTCGTTGCTCTCACGTCTGCAGCTGGTT